GCTGACACTGCCCATATCGCCCATATCCAACTTGAACAAAATAACATAAAGAAACGTTTAACACATATAACACGGAATAAACGACATGTGCGAGAAAAGACATTTGCTAGGCCTAGCATGCATTGGATTGGAGAATATCGTTTTACTGTGATTCACGTTAGAGCGACATCTTTGAACAATGACAGCATAATGCCACTTAAAAATTTAGTGTAGTTGTATGGTGGCATCAACAATATCCTATTTAAGTTTTATTGAAATCACTTGTGCACTCTCCTAAATTTTTTCTGATCAGCGGGTCTTAAAAACTCATTCAACTTGTGATAATCCAGACTGCCAATAAGCCAAATATGATATGCAGTTGTTCATCTGAGTTTTATACTATATTATTTTCATCTTTGTTGATCGACAAACTTTTATACTTAATAAAATTTGAAATATGGGCAATCAATAATCCATACACCATGTTGGGTAAAAGTTGTTACTTCTATCCAGAATAGTGGATGAATCTTAAAGCCCATGAATTCTGAATATTCTCAGTTCAATTCTATCCCATGACCTGTATTTTACAAAACTTTTGGAGAATTTTTACAAAAGTGTTCGAACGCATTCGGCTTTTGGGGAGAATGCGATGTGGAAATCAGTGTATGATCTCTATACGAACATATCATATGTTTTTAGCTCGTAATGACGTTAACATAGTCAGTTTAATATCGAAAAAATTGTATCAATAGAATCATAACATTCTATAATCAGAATAAGGAAGATGCTGTCTAGTATATTATATTATTATATTATACTAAGGGTGATCAGATCCAGTTTTTAGAAATCAGGAGAAAAACATGCGAGTATCAAGTAGTTTTTTCTTGGACAAGCAAAATTTTGTTCTGTTTTTCTACCGTACCGCTGCTGACTGGAATTCTCTGCCAAATACTGTTGTACCTTGTCAAACAGTTACTACTTTCAAACGAGCATTAAGCGCTCACCTATCCATATAAGTGTGTGGTTGTTTTTTTTGTTTGTTTAATTTTTGTTATTGACTTTTCTTCTATACTCTCTTCTTGCGGTTCTTCTCTTTTCTGCGCGGTAGCACTGTGTTTACAAGCCTTTGGTTTTTTTCTGCTTTTCTTTGTTACGAGATGTTTTCTTGGGCATAAAATAAACTTTCAAGTTCAAGTTCTTACGAGCGAAAGAAAGAAAACGAGAGAAAGATAATTACATGCAGTTTATTCTACTGATATTCTCATAGCTGTTCATTTAACAACATAAACAAAACAGACACAGATATTTTTAAAGAAAACTACAAGAACCAAAACAAAACAAAGAAAATATGGAGAACTTTTTGCTACACCGTCTGTGGTATTTTTGCAAAACATGACTGTATTTTTTTGATGAGCGAATTTGTTTTAACAGTTCTTGATTATTTAAGAGATAATTATAAAATTCTTTATAATCGAAGCACGAAAAGAATTGAAAATCAGGAGATTTCGCCACCCTGGTTTTACTATTTTGTGACAGGAATCATGATTGATAAAAGGTGACTCAAAACAGTTAAATATGTGCGCAAGAAAAGTACTCAGAGCCGTGTTTTATACAAACATCATATCAGTCGTATAATAAATATATGTTAACTGAATTTTGCAAAACATCTAGTGTCGGTATTGATGCGGATTTTGATTAAATTGTGCTTTGGTGGTCGAAATAGATAGTGATGAGGATAGAGTGGATAACTCTGAATCTAGTCCATCTAATCTGTCTAAAATTCTGTTGTGTCGTTACATTATTAAACTTGGTATCAAACAGTCGCTTCAATACAATTTTTGTAGTATATGTGTAGGGTGCTCCATACAATATCCCGAAAGTTCCTGTCCAACATTATTTGGTTTACAGAACTCTGTATAATATAAATATGATTAGAAATTAAACGGAATGAGGAGACGATTCAGAGACAGTGTTCTATACAGGGAATTATCAGACAAGCTTTGTTCATGTCATATTCTGATTAATTTTTTCTCTTATTCCAAAAAGTATATATGAAGGCATATTATATTGAACTCTACATTCTTTATACTGAAAAAGAAATGACTAGCAAAAATAGAGAGTTATAGCTGTTCCTCTATTGGCGAACAGTATTGACTTATCGTATTTTTTTTGTTCTGTTCAACATCATGTGTCTTTTTTTTAACGCTAACTACAGCAGCGAACTGACTGATGTCTCGAAAACTGTTAGTTTTAATTCATAAGGCAGTGTGTTCTGTTATGAAACAAAAAAACTACTTTGCTTCTGGATTTTCTATTTTATTTTTTTCTTTGTATCTTTTCGTTTAAAAAAGTTAGAATACCTTTCGATAAATAGTAGAAGAACTCAGCTAGCTAAACTTAGTGGATGCTATAGACTTCCAACTTGTTCACTTTTTTGTCGATGACGGGGCTAGTGCAGTGACGTATTACGAAAATTTTTTTCGATTTTGTTCAGTAGAGTTCGGCGAAAAACTGACTTATAGTGCCTCGAACGGACCTTGAAGGACTCTTGTTTTAACTAGCAAACCACTAGAGGCCACACTGTTCTAAAAAAGTCCTGGATCTGCTACTGGACTACTACTGGTTCCATTTTTCTTAGCAGACGTTATCCTTGCTTCGAGCTAGTCGCATTCTGACGGCAATACTACAGGCTCTCTATTCTGTACGTAGAAGACTTCTATTATCGACAGTTGCACTTACAGGACAGAGTGTCCGAATGTAGTGTCTAAATACGTCCGTCCGAAAATACGACTTTCCTTACACTGTACGCAGCGAACAGCACGTTCTGTACTGTTTCTAGGTGACGATCTTCAACTGCTGCTGGATTGGGCCCTGAAGACGTTCAATTATAAAAAAACTCTTTTACCAAAAAAGCGTAACCATGCGAACTGCTGTTTTGACGCCCACTTCGAACCGAATCCGAGTTCAGGGACATCTGGATTAGTTCTAACCGTCCGAAAGTTAAACTTCATCCACAATGTTTGAGACTAAGGACGTCGTGTTGTTGATCTCAAACAGACAAATATTTTTCTTTGTTTTTTGCTTATCTGTAATCTTAAACTTTTTCGTTGTTAGCACGAAAGTTATTCAGTATTGTAAAGACGCATGAAATGTGTAAATTTGTTTTATAAACGCATTTTAGTTAGAGTAACATACGAGGAAGCTTAAGATATGATACAACCGTCATAAAATCTGACTGACAGGACTGTATAGTAAGAATGTAAGAGAAGTGCGACTTTCTTCCAGTATAGAATAAAATTTTGGCTGCTACGTCGATGAACAGCAGTAATAATTATATCCACATGCTGGGAGTTTTCACCGCTTTTCCACTAAATGTAACAGAAAAAAATCCAACAGCCAATTACAGAAATACGTCACACAACGGCTTTATCTATTTTTTGCACCATAAAAAATGTAGCATGTTAGTTTTATATCCTACTGATAAGTGGTCATCAGTTTAACGATCATCAGTCATCATTAGAGAGCGATCTGGTTGTATAAAAAATATTATTGAACTTGAACGCTTGACTGTTTCACAAATGTCATGTCAATTTTGCGTGTATGTTCCAATTTTTTATGGTTTCAATCATAAAAAACGTTTTCTATTGTCTCATTTACTGTTTTCTATTGACATGCATGAAAGGCATTAACAATGAAATAGAGTACCTTCAGGTTAAAGATATAACAATATACTATGGCGAAGCTTTTTGTCATCGAAATTAGAGTTTATTTACACTTTCTATATTTGGAGACAATATCACTGTGTGATTTCATTTCGTGTAAAATTGTCTGCAAGTTTTGGTGTTGATTTTAATCACCAGGTTGTTGCTAGTTTGCTGTGATATTTTATTGACCATAACATTGTACAGAACGCAGATCCGTTTTCTCTTAATTTTATACATAAAGTCTCGAAAAAACAGACGTCTTTTGATTAATTTTTGAGTATATTATAGTGCCATGTTGAGTATACGCACAATTTAAATTATATTTCAGTGTCATTATCTATGCAGTAATCGAGATGATGATGATTATGTAAAAATTTTTGAGAAGAAGATTGAATATGTCTCGATCAAATCTATATTTTTGATGAAGAAAAAGATGTTGATTTGAACATTGGCTATTTGATAGAAAAGAAAAGAAGGAAAGAACTTTGATTAGATGTACAGTCAATCAGCAGAGAAAGAAAAATTGTTTCACGAATGGTGATAATTAATCTTCATCATTATTCTTATTTTCATCATATTGTTTATTTTACTCGTACAAATTTTTTATCAGACCTATTTGCTCTGATGATGATGATGATGATGCTGTTTCAAGCAGAATACTACTTTACAGATCATCATGCGTACACACATGCAAATGAAGTACATGTAGTAGATCTTATTCTTCTATATGTATATATGTATATATTAAATCTATTCTTTATATATATTTTCAATGATACTTCAATTGTGTCTGATTGAGTTCGACATGAAACTATTAGTGCCAAATAGTCACAATACATATTAAGCACACATTGTTCATTGTGTGTACTTTTTTCTTCTTGCTCTATTGATGATCTAACAAAAACGAAATAAAAGGTAAGTTCGATCAATATAAATAAAATGAACTAAAGAGTGTTAAATTCTATTAAACAAATAATCTATTTGAGTGGAAGAAAATATGCCTTGCCTGTTTAAACTGAATATTTCGATTAGGTGATTTGCAGTGAAATCTATTTACAGTTCTTTACTTTAGAAGGAACAACTCCATCTGTTTTCAGAACAGACAAGTACTACCCTTCAGCTATGTTCTACACTCATAGGGTACGCTTCATTAGTGTAAACATTGGAAAAAAAATAATTGTAGTGATTGTGTCTCAAAATTTTCAGAAAATGATACGGATCGACGATAAATATTGTATTTTTATTGTCATTTATTTTGTTTTTAGATTTTTCCTAATGAGTTAGCACAAAATCTATTTTCTTAAACAAATATGAATAATGGCTAACAAATTAAACTCACACCAGAGTTATCCAATTAAACTTGTTATTGTGGGAGATGGAACAGTAGGGAAAACGTGCGCATTAATATCTTATACAACAAATACGTTTCCAGAAGAATATGTTCCAACAGTGTGCGTTTAGTAAAAAGAAAAATTAAATATTTAGTAAAAAATCTTTTTATTTTTTGTATCTATCTATTTAGATTTGATAATTATACATCAAATATTTTAGTAGATGGAGTAAAAATTTCGCTTGGTTTATGGGACACAGCTGGTCAGGAAGATTATGATCGTTTAAGACCATTATCATACCCGCAGGTAGTTTTTATTTATTGACTTTATTTTGTTATAGATCATTTTTCATTTGTTTTTTTTCCATTTCAGACTGACGTATTCGTATTGTGTTTCAGTGTTGTTAGTCCAACATCATTCACAAATATAACAAATAAATGGATACCTGAAATAAGACATCATTGTCCCGATACACCTGTATTACTTTGTGGTATGAATGAAAAATGATGAAATGTATCGAATTTTTCAAAATATTTTATATTTAGGAACAAAAATCGATTTAAGGGAGGATAAAGAAGGTAAGATTTAGAATAATGATATGCTACTATTTTTAATATATTAGTTCAGAAAATAAATAGTTTTCTAGTGGAATAATTAATTTTTAATATTCATTTGTTTGTTCTAGATTTACAAAAACAAAGTTTAACAGCAATCAAACGAGAACAAGGACAACGTTTAGGAAAAAAAATTCGTGCCTTCAAATATGTAGAATGTTCAGCTCTTACTCAGAAGGGATTGAAACAGGTAATGCATTATATATAAATGAAATCTTGTACATTGTTGTTATAATCTTTTATGCTTTTATAGGTGTTCGATGACGCTGTGCGCGCTGTTTTGTCACCAAAAAATGCTAAAACAAGAAAATCGAATTGTGTATTTCTCTGAATATATAAATTTCGAAGAAATAGAACGAAAGTAACTGAAATTTATGCTATATGTAGATTTGACTATTTTTTTGTGTATGTTTTTCATCTTTCTTGCTGAACTCAGGTTTTTTTCTTTACGATCTGCTTAGATAATTTTATACAATGTGCTCGTACAAAAAGCAAAGAATACATGAAACAATCCAGTTGGATCTGAATCTTGTTTTCTTCATTCTCAGCAATTTAGTTACACTGATCGTTGCTATTTTTCTCATAATTGAGCGATGGAACTAAAAACGTAACTGTGTTGTAAATATGAATTGTTTCTTTTTCATTTTTTTCTTGGAATTCTTCGAAAATCTCTTCAAAATAACTTTTGTATCTTTTGTTTTGTTATAATTGTCATTAGAAATAGCATCTTTCATAAAATATGCCGTTTTTTCCCTCTCATTGCCTATTGTTTAACTCATTGGTAAAAGAAAACACTTCCTTTACTATTAGGGGCGTTCATTTAGTGTAATTTTATAAAATAAATATAAATGATCCATTTATATTTATCAATTATTATAAAGGAACAATAAAACTAAATGAACACTCCTATTTACTATACAAACATTTTCTATGCTAACTTATTTCCAACGTATTTTCTATTAGCATTTTCGTATTGTATCAGATTTTTTTCGTGTGCACCTTTTTATTCTTTTCTTTCCATATGTCTTCCTCCTTGTTGTTCACTACCTGTCAGGTTTTTTTTAAAATTATTTATGAACGCATGTTTTTACAGAAATCAGATTTCTGTTTTGTACTCTTATTTTGAAACAATAAATCCATCTTCGAATGAAGGAACACATCTATAATCGCCGATGGCTCACAAACGTTGATATAAGCTGGAGAGATGCTACTATATTCTGGTGTGTCAGTTTGGTCGAATGGATGAATGTGCAGTGTGATGTTCTCTCTTAGGAATCGGTACTGTTAAGCAATGGTTCTGTAGGTTATTTATCAGAAGGAATGGTGTGGTGGGAGATTTTTGTTTTTCTTACTATGCATGTTTGCTTTTGTCGACCGACACACTCAATCTCTTTAATCATGAATTGACTCGTGAACTGCTAGGGCTACTGTCGTTGAGGGATTAATTCTGTAGCCTCTTCATCTCAAATATTGATCTTTAGATTTTTGTCTCGTGGGATTCTGCTGCAATTTTGACTTTATCCTGTAGTCTCACCGCTCTATGATGATGCAGTTTTCAGGATACTATATATCTCTCTACAAACTCAAGTTCTTCATCTACGCTAATTGTGTTAATTATTTTCTCAAGATTAAGCGTGAACTTCTTGTCATTCGATTGTTTTTAAAATTTTCTATCTTAATCACCCGTATTTTTTACTTAAATATTTATATTATTTATTTTATTTATTTATATTCAACACATTTATTGTGTTGTAATATTTTAACTGATGGAACCATGGCAGTGAAAGAAATTTTTTATTAAGATACATACAAAGATGATCTTGATAAATATTGATTAGTGTCATAAACATTTTTTTTCGCCTTGTTAGAGTTCAGTTGAATCGTGCTATTTTTTAGACATGTTTTACTACCTGCAGAACAAACACACCTTTTGTCACGAACACATTTATTGACAGAAACAGAAGTTTGGATATAGTTTCGAAAATGAAAAATCATCAAGAAAGCCACCTTTTAGTTAATATTTATAGAACTCATTGGTACAATCTCAGAGAAAAGATCCTATAATAAGAGTTAGTCCAAGATGCTAAGCTTTCGACTTTTCTCTAACTAAGCAAACAAAGGGCGCCGCCTTAGTGAAAACTCGCCTAGCTCAAAATGAGATAAACGCTCTAGTGAAACTTCTTGAAGCCAAGATCCTCCAAGACCTTGGAAATACAATTTTCAATATTTTGAGCGTATCCATTGAAGATGTTACAAGATAGTATGATTGAATCTTGCATCCAAGATCTTGGAAATTCCTGAACCATCGTTTTATTTTACACGGTAAATCACACATACTTAACTGAAATATGTAAATTATCACATTTAAGTGGAAAATTTTCTTTACATTTTGTTTTCATTTGTGACAGCCATAGCCATCAGATGTACTACTCTATAGAATCATCGTCTCTTCCTTAAACAACTAAGTTCAAGAAGAAAAAAACTTCAAAGTTATTTGAAGTGTGAAAATATTCGAACTTATACTTTACACAAGAGTGTAAAACAAAACGATGATTCAAGGATTGTACCCGAAATCTTCGGTACAAGATTCAATCGCTCAAGATCTTTGGCTCTTGAAATTTCTTTAATTTCTTACGTTTTCTTATCAAGATCTTGAGTCAAGGTCTTACTAAAAAAATCCAAGAAGTCAAGATCTTGATTCAAGAAGTTTCACTAGGAGGAATATATGGGTAGATACTCGTTGAAAAACTGCATCGATTACTGTTTTCCATTTTATTAGGAAGTTCTATTTTGGCGAAAAAGTTTAGGAAAAATTTTGAAACAAAATGGCGCAAAAAAATTTTCATGAGAAAATAACATTTTTTCCTAAACTTTTGGAAGTACCCGTCGCCAAAAATTGAATAGTTATCGAGTGTACTGGATACGAAAAAGCACTTTTCAGCAACTCAAAACTAACTTTATTTTTATTGCACTAATATGATATAAACTATCGTAGTTGACGAGTTTTGCTGAAAATCAGTCAAAACAACTTTTTTTTGCTTTTTTTAGAAGTAGCTTTCGTGCTTAAAAACTGTAGGAGATTGTGAATTATAGATTTTATGCAAAATGCATTCAAAATTTTCTCTTCTAATCTCTTGAAAAAAAATGTTTTTTCTTTTTTTTTGGTTTCTACTTTTTGACCTAATGTTAATAAAAATCAATTTGTTCACGCGTTTTCTGCTTTTAATTTAAACCAATACTATATTTATAATCTATGAATAAAACTGGACGAACAAGATATTGCAGAAGTGTTCAATACCTTGCATTTGATACTTATAACGAAGAACTAAGTTGAGACATCTTTTTGCAACTTAATATATATTTGAGTATAAATGTACTAAGTAATAAAAAAGATATGAGTCCTATTTTGTAGAGTTTTTTCGGAAAGCAGTAATCGATGTACTATCCATCCCAAAATACAAGACGCGTGGGCATTTTTTGAATAACTTTTGATAGGAATGAGATAGAGACCTGCGATTTTCGCTGTTCAATAGCCAAGACTTGAGCAGAACTTTTCACAAGCGGAAGCAACTTTTGAAAAAATTCCAGAGAT